TAATTTCATGTTAAAAGTATAATAATGTATTTTAAACCACATAAAATATTTTCTAAGGAAATTAGATTTATACACACTTTTATAGAAATGCACATATTGAACAAAGAAAAGTGGACTCGTAACTATTCTAACTACCCACTGATTGAATATACTTGTCTGTCCAAACTATAAGTGGTGATTATTAGAAGATGCTGAGAGGAAGAAGTTTTTTTCATTAAATTTACATTATCAATGAACCATACATTCACTTTCAGGAAAACTGCATTTAAATTATAAACTCAGTCAGCTCTGCTTTCCTTTCCCATGAGGAAATAACATTTCAGAAAAACCAACTGTGAATATTGGTTTCTATATGGAAGTATACATACCTCACATTTTCAAAGTCAGTAAAATTATTCTTTTTAAGAATGGTTTTTCCAGCAGTAACCATGCTCTCAACTATAAAACAGGAAAGAAACTACATTACATTATAGAAGGCATTAAGTTCACTAAAGTGTTATTAATCTTAACTTTTGGGGTCCTAGCCAAATTTACTTATTCTAGGGGGGTGGGATTAATTCTAACTGCGCAAGACTGGTACAATATCCGCAAATCAAAAATGTGATACAGCACATTAACAGATTGTAAGACAAAAATCACAAGATCATGTCAATAGATGCAGAAAAAGCATTAGACAAAATCCAACACCCATTTTTGATAAAAACTCTCAGCAAAGTGGGAATAGAGGGATCAAGATGATCGGATCATGAAGAATACTGCCATCATCTTACCAAGTCCTATTTGCTCTTTCTTTAGATCTGTGCAGTTTCCAATATGCTGCTTTGTCACCACAAGGTAATGATGAGATGCTGCTGGGCTGAACAGTTGTGTGAACAGATGTACTGGGATGAGTGGAGAGTCTTCAGCTTGCAGGGAAGACTCAGGGAACACCATAGTTCTTTTTATTTTTTTAAAGGACTAAACATGGTGGATAAAGAGACTTATTGGTCAGCCTTCCATTGGACAAAGATTCAGAAGGAAATTATACAAAGACAGTTTTGTCAGCAAATGGACCTTTTTGGCAATAGAATAAGCTGCCTCAAAAAAAAAAAAAGCACTGTACACGGTGGCTTCCATCTGGTCGCTCTGTGTTGCTCTCCTCACTCTAGGCCAGTGGTCGGCAAACTCAAGAGTCAACAGAGCCAAATAGCAACAGTACAACGATGGAAATTTCTTTTGAGAGCCACATTTTTTAAACTTAAACTATATAGGTAGGTACATTGTGATTAACTTAATTAGGGTACTCCTAAGCTGGCCTTTGCTAAAAACGTCCTCAATCTGATTGAGGTACGTTCACTGAGGTTGACCCCTTCCAACTCTCCCATCCACACTCGTCTTGTGTACTTGTTTCGTCTATCTTTTGTCACCAGCGCAATTCGCAGACGCGACTAGCAACAACCACTGCACAATGAGGCTGCTGGCTGACTGGCTCACTCAACTCCGGCATAAATCGCGCGCGCCTCCCCTGAGTTGTATCCCGCGGCCGACCCACCGACACCCCCCACTTCTTCTAACGCCACTTCTTCAACATAGACTCGCCCAGGCCGAAAACCGACTTCTGCGCACGGGCCACCAAGTTTCAATCTCACTGTACGTGGGCGCCCGCACGTGGTATTTTGTGGAAGAGCCACACTCAAGGGGCCAAAGAGCCACATGTGGCTCTCGAGCCGCGGTTTGCCGACCACGGGCCTATGCTCATGAAGACAGGAATTTGTTGGGTGTTTTGTTTACTGCCTCCAACAGTACCTGGAGTAGAGAAGGCACTCAAATACTGAGTGATGAATACGTGAGTGAGTCCCCTCTTTCCCATGGACAAAGCTCTAACTCACCAGTCTTCAGTGCTTTCTGAAGCATTCTCTCCACCCCGACTCCTCCTGCAGTCACCACTCCCTTCCCCTCCTCAAGATTGCCAGACTTCCCTCAAACGTTGTCTGTATTTGCTCTCTTCAACTTTTCATCCCCAGAGTCCTCTCAGTTCCTACAGTCTGCCTTCTGCCGCACCATGCTGCAACTGGGCTCCTAAAGGTGAATTCATTTTGGGGCAAAACCAGTTCTGATATAACCTGACCGCTCCACAAGCAAATAGGAGAGTCACCTAACCCAGACTTGAGGATAGGCAAGGCTCTTGACATTCTCCCTTTTCTGAGCTTTCCTAGTTTTCCTTGTTTCTTGGACGGCTCCTTCTCTGTCCCCGTTTCAGGTCCTTGTCCTCTGCTTTTCCCGTCTGACATCAGTTATCCTTAGGACTTTGTAGGCCCCCTCCCCTCCTCCTCCACATACACTTCCTAGGTCAGCTCATTCCCCCTCTTGTCAATTTCCACTTATACGCTGGCAGTTCCTATAATCTGGGCTGGAAATCCACATCTCTCCACTGTACAGACTAACCACTTGCCGCACATCTCTACTTAGATGCCTCATACTCACCTGAAACTCCAAAACCGACCTCATCACTTCGGTACTTCCCACCACTCCCCTGGCCATCAGCTCTCCTCCTTGTTGCTCATCTTCAGGGCCTGGTTCCCAGAGCACCGTGGACAGAAATCTGGAACGATCCCGACTTGCCCCTTTCTCTTCCTTGTTCTCCCACACTGAAATCGGGGCTTCTCAACCTAGGCACTGTTGGTATTTTGAGGCTAGATAATTCTTTGTTGCGGAGAGCTGTCCTGTGCATTGTATAATATTAGCAACCTTGGCCTCTCCCCATTAGGTGCCAACAGTCCGCCCTGACCCCACAGCTGTTACACCAAAAAGTGTCGCAAGGCATTGCCAGAAGTCCGGGGGAGCAATAGCCCCGAGTTAAGAACTGCTCTCGGTCCCTCAACAAGTCCTGCCTGTTTAACCTCCTAAGTATCCTTAGATTGACCCACTTTTCTTCATCCCCACAGCGGGCCTCACTCTCATTCCAGGCCCTCCTGGGGCTGGATTCCTCCAAGAGCCCCCCACAGGTCTGCATGCCTCCAGGCAGGTGCCAGAATGAGTGACCTTTCAAAGGCCAAACCCCTCGGGGTCACTCCACCCCAGGATCAAACAGAGCGGGGCTTCCCGCCACTGCTCAGATGAACATAAAACTCCTTAAAATGAATCACAACACCCTAATCACGGGGCCCCTGTGAACCTCGCCAGCCTCATCTTCCACCTCAGTCTCCACACTCTCCTTAGCCTGGGTTTCTCGTAGTTGCCCCACGGCACAAAGCGAACCCCCGGGGTTCTCCCGACCTTATTGGCTCGCCTGGCCACCTCCTGCTTGTTTCTACTCACTTTCCCTGGAAAGCGCTTCCCTGGGCCTTCAGATCTGGGCGAGGGGCCTCCCACAGGCCTGCCAAGTCCTGCAGCATTGCAACCAGCCATCTCCATCATCTCCATCCCCCGGCCCCCACCCGCCTCTGCCATGGCGACCTGCTCTAGTCTTTATTCTTTCTTCTCCTAAGTTTGGTCTCAGTTGTTTTTTTCCCCCCTAGTTCCTTAAGGCATAGAGTTAGGTTGTTTATTTGTGATCATCATCTCCTCCTCCTCCTCCTCCTCCTCCTCTCAGTCCGCACGCATCCCACCCGTCAGGGTGTAAACTGGACAGAACTGCCCTTTATCTCACCACCGACTCTCCAACACCAAGTACTTAGAGGGAATTCATTTCACTTTAACAAGTGAATGTATAATGGACTACAAAAACAAACAAACAAACAAAAAACACCCACAACTTTTGGATTCTCTTTTGGATTTGCAAAAGGTGGTTTCTTTGAAGGCAGGTAGAACCGACGGAAGACGCGTGTACCTGATGCCTGTTTTAAAATAAATGTGCACACCTTCCAGCCCATCGCGCTTGCAGGAGCCGAGCCCCGCCCCGTGGCGACCTGGCCTCCGACCTCCTCCCCCAGCCCATTTCCGGTCAGTCTGACAACCACCACCAACTCCACGGTCACTACGGTCCACGTGCTCCTCGTCCTCGCCTCGGTGTCCGTACCGGAGTGCGCAGACCAGGACGCGGGGTGCAGCAAGGCGGGGCCGGGGGCGCCCGGGGCAGAGGCCCAACGCGTGGTCCCCGCAGACAGGCAGGT